ACTGTGCCATAGACCCTGGTTCAACAGAGCAAGCTTAGTGTCTGTTCTCCAGTCTCTGGCACAGTTGATGAATTCTATTTATATCACCAAGTATTTTGACTAGATTGATAAAACATGTGTATTTCAGATTTCAGATTACTTTGCTAAAGGCCTGCTTTCTCATTCGATTTTTTTTAACAAACACTACCTTGCCATGAATATGCTGTCAGAAATGTAGGTGGATGTATCTCTCTACAATATCAGTATTTATTGAATAATGATGAATTCACAATCTTATATCAGTTTCTTTGGCTACAATTTGCCAAAGACTTCCAATTATTTCTGATAAGGGGTCACTAGCAAATATGAGTTCTTTTATTCCAATATCCTTTACTAATTTTACTCTCAGATCTTATATTACATATCAGACAGTATATATGTGCATGTGTGTATGTGTGCATGCACACTTGCATATATGTGATGTATGTGTGTATGTTAGGGAATATCAGAAAAAGATACTTGTATCATGTGTGTACTTATATGTGATATGTGTTATGGAATGGTCATATAAGGATTAACAAATCCACACACAAAAGCTTCACTCAGCACAGAGGTAAAGATTGGTTCAGATGCAGTTGTCCAGATAAGATATTAAGGAGCCAGCTGGAGAGCTGCAGACAAACAGGGCTTAGCCAGGTTCAGGATTGAGTGGAGCTGCAGGGGGTAAAGTCAGGACCATGGGATGGGGATGGGAGGGGAGGGACAGAGTCAGGATGACTGGACTACATGGGTAGGAACAGAAGCATGTGACAGCTGAAGCACAGGGGACAATCAGTTCTCTCCTTGTTGGTCTCTTGATACACGCATGGGAGTCTGTGGTGAGGTTGGCGGTGGGCATAATATTGTTGTGTTAGGTTGTGTTGTGGGATAGTATTTCAACTATGTAAGATGCATTACATTATGTGAAGGTGTGTTACATTTGTTTATGTCGAAGAATAACTATGTGAAGATGTGTTACATTTGTTTATGCTGCATTGGTTTAATTATGTAAAGATGTGTTGCTGTTTCACCTTGCTGGCCTAAAGGCACCTGATTAGTCTAACAAAGGCTGAATGGCCAGTAGCTAGGCAGAGGAGGGCGTGGCAGGGCTGTTGGGCAGACAGAATAACTAGGAGGAGAAATGTGGTTCAGAGAGGAGGAGAGAAGAGGAGGCTGAAAGAGAAGGATTCACCAGGGGTCAGAAGACAGGCAGCCGCCAACTAGCCAGAAATGGAGACAGCAGGAAAGTAAGACACACGGAAAGAAAGGTTAAAAGCTCCTAGGCCAAACATAGATACAGAGAAACAAGTTAATTTAAATTGTAAGAACTAGGTAGAAGTGAGAACAGGACAAGGCCAAGCATTCATAGCTAACAAGTTTCTGTGTCATGATTTGGGGGCTGGTTGGTGCCCCCCACCAAATAAAAGCCTGTTACAGGTGTTTTCTTCTTTTGGGTCCAGGTGAGGATGTGGTTCCTTCTTCAGTTTGGGATATTTAAATTTTTTATCAGGTCTGATTTTTCAGATGTTGTCTTATTTCGAGTTTCTATTGCTGTGGTGAGACACCATGACTAAAAAGAATTTATTTGGTTTACACTTCCACACTGTAGTCCAACACTGAAGGAAACTAGAACCAAAATTCAAACAGGGCAGGACCTGAAGGATCTAAGCACAGGCCATGGAAGGGTGCTGCTTACTGACTTGCTCCATTGCTTTCTTGTAGAGCACATGACCACCAGCCCAGGGGTGGGACCACCCACATTAGACTGGGCTGGGCTGGACCCTCGGCCATCAACCACTAATTAATAAAATGCCCTACAGTTGGATCGTATAGAGACATTTTCTTAATTGAGGCCGCCTCCTTTCAGATAACTTTAGCTTGTATCAAGTTGACATAAAACTATCCAGAGCAGATATGGTTATGATATGTCCTCATGTGTCTAATTGATTATGATGTGTCTATCAGTGATGTCTTTTCACTTTTAGGAATAAGGTATTTATCTGACTTTCCTTTATGGGTGGCGCTGGACGGAAAGCATGTCTATGTGCACAGGCATCAATCATTTGCTTGTAAAATGGAGCCGCCATGGGCAAGACCCAGTCTGAAAGCCACCATTTTATACAGTAAGGAGTAACCTAGAGAAGGGCACAGCCCTATCTCCCCAAGGTCATAGTCTAAGAATGAGAAAGGGAACAGGACAAAGCAAGATGGAGTCACTGGTGACAATGACACGTTCCCCCTTAATAAAGTGAGACATGGAGATGGTCAACTTTAATATTTCAAACACGCTTGGTCAGAAGTGACATGGCACGGATTCCCAACATCATCGGGTTTTCTTTTTTTTTTTTTTTTTTT